TCAAAGCCATTTCTGATGCCGTAATGAGGGCCTTTGTTGTGACTAGCCTGTTGTTTTCCATCTGCCCATCGTAATGAAGACGCTTTCCCCATATGCTTATCACCACAAGGGGAAATAAATTACGAAACAATGCCCTGCAAAATTGCCCTTCCCGCTCCCATCAAGGCGGTTCCTATTCCGAAAGTGGGAAACTTCCACCCAAGACTGTCAACCTCGGCCTCGATCCTGATCATTGGTGGTGCTGATAATATTACTCATCCGCTCAGCCAAGGTTCTAGTGCGAGTTTGGGCTTAGTCTGTTTCGCCTTGAGAACTCTTCATTTGGTCATCTTATCGCGGGAAAGCTACCGGTATGAGTACAGTACGAGTACAGTAGACTTTGCGTCAGGGGGGGGCTGCTGCACTAGGCACCTCGTCCGTTCTGCTCACTTACCACGCCGGCCAGTATCCAGACGAGACGCCATGGACAGAGAAAACTTGCCTGAGCCTAGCTGAGCCATGGACAGCGGCATGCATGGGAAGAACCCTTGAAGTAAGAATCTCCGAGTAGTAAAAGGGAGCATGATGAAGTGTCGAAGCTCCAGTCGATGATATTTGCCGCTTCGGTATCGTGTGCCCATAGATACCGTATTTTTGCTTGGTTGTAGGAGGGTTGTGATTATTGGAGGAAGCTTAAGGTAGACTACAGCACAATAGTCGTCTCACCGATTTCAGCAGATTTCGGATACGAGAAGAGCATGAAGCAATGATGATGGCATGCCAAGGAAAAGATGCCGTACTTGTATCAGACACCATAATGACATAATCGGGCAGATATTATTGTGATAGGCCACCGTACCCGTATGTGCTCGAGTACTCGAGTATTAGTACTGAGTACTCATGTACTTGTACATACCGGTACGAGCTTGCACCCCCATTTTCAAATGGTCTCACAGTGCGGACAATAGGTGGAAAGTCGGATAGGAATAATGCAGGCGGCCTCACGTCCTTCGCGGAATTCCATGCTAAGCGCTGGCCACCTTGTGAAGGCTGCTCCAGGGGAAGAATGGCGCAACGGGTAATCTCGTGAGGGATAATTGTATCATACGAGTAGGTACTTGTACAGTACTGGTACAATGAGATCAACGGGCTCGTCGTTCCCCACCGTGTCTACCTCTGCTGTGTTGAGCCAAACTGCACCAAACTTTGGGCTGCCCCCTATTGTGATCATAGATACCGTACGAGTAGTCTACTCGAATACTCGAGTAGCGTCACCATTTCCTTACAGACTGATTCCGAAAGGTTCTCAAAAATACCGGGCAGCCAGTAGCGTACCGTACTCGAGTACCAGTGCAGGTAATCTTGTTGCGCCACCATCCAAATAAGTGGCGGGAAACACGGATGGCCTTCCGGAGATAGCGGATGGTGGGAGGTTTTACGAGTGCTTTCGCGAGTCTAGCTCCAGTGTTCCGCATTCCAGGCTTCAAGGGTGAATACGATAGATATGACTATCGTTTGCTCCAATGATGTCGTAAATTTTGACCCAAGGTTGCACAAGGGAACACCAATTCCTACACGGAACGTTGAATCTCCGATCAGATTCCGTCGGCCTTTTCGGAGCCGCTGCATGCAGTTTTCTAATCTCGCACAGTGCTGTACTCATCATACCCTGCACTGTTCTAGTAGACTACCGTACTTTGTACGGTGCGGTGAAATCGACACGAGACAGTCCTTTTTCCTGGCGCGGGGGCTGTGGGGTATGAGAGAAGCGAAATCGGGAAACCAGGCCAGGCTGTGGGATTTTGTGCCATGGGGGAATTCAGATAATGAGGAAAGGGTCTGAACTTTTCAACTGGCTTCCCCCAAACCACTGCCATTACTGTACGAGTACAACTGTCAGCTGTCCATGTTTGGGCGGTTGTCACGGCACCTGAACTACGACGGCTTGTGGTTTTCCCGGTCGCTTGGGGCTACTCCCTTTAGGGAAATTTTTCCAATTTCTTGGGTCCCTCAGCTCTTCTTTCCTCTCGAAACCCCCCCCCCGAAGATCGTCCCTTGAGCCGCTACCGTATTCTCTACATCCACTCACCCCCCCCCCACCTTCCATCCTATCCTACAGTATCCCTCGAGCCCACCGGCTGCCCCTCCACCCGTCGATTTTCCTCCACTTTCTCCTTGCCCTGATCTCTTTACCAGATTTCGCTCACCCTGAGACCTGTCTGATCCATTTGTTCCGGATCCGGCAGGAGTGGAACATTGCCTCGGCAGAAAAAACTACCGAACCTTGAATAGCACAAACGGTTACCTACTGCAGGGTGGAAAAAGGAAAACCAATCTTCTAGCATAAAATTATCGTGGGGACAAGAAGACTTGGATCCCGCACTATTGGAAGGGGAAATACTGAAAGGGGGAAAGGGCTAAGTTTCCGGTAACTTTTTTATTTGAAGGTTGTGAGGCGTGGAATCAGAGATACGGATTAGACATCAGAAATTTCATCACGATCCGGGAAACAGCTCAAGTCAACATCAAACACACGCAATTGGCCCTCTTGACGGAACCCTAATGGCTTCTCGAGATCAGGCTGACAACAAGCTAAATAATAGTGGTCGGGAGAAGGATGTCATACCAACCATTGTTTCCTTCCATGAGGAAACAGAAACAATTCCCACCTTCATACTCCCTGATGGTCACTCTTCAGACGATCTATCGGGGGTAGATCAACAGCTTGACATCCTCTCCCCCGACTTCCAAGAGTCGTCTCTGCAGCACCGAAGGTTGAGCCTATTCGATTACACTCCCTTTTCCTTGCCTCCATCCAGAGTACGTTTTTCCCCCGCACACACCCACATTTACCACCCCCCCCTCTCCATTGCCCCCTGCATACAAACTTTCCCTAGGCACTGGCAGCACGTTTCGTTGCTTCTGCAGGGTCAAGCACCGTTCGGGGTTTGCTCAATAGGTGTTAACCTGTCACGGATTCGAAACTGACAAGCCATTTTGGAAATTTGCTTTAATAGGTGCCAACCATTGAGAGTACTCTTCCTCTTCCTCCCTCTCCTGCTCCTAATTCAACTTCCTCTCCTCCCCTTCAAGCACTTCGTTCAGATTCAGAAACTCCGGTTACTTTATCGCGAAAACCAATGCATTCACCACCGCTTACTCCTGCTTCTACTCATGACCGGGGTCAGTTCAAGCATACACGTTCGGAGGAGCTTCGGGTACCCGGAAGTCAACCTTTGAAATTAGCCCCAGGGGACCCGGCAACCATGACTCCGCAAACATCTCCACCTCGGCCCGGATCTACAACAATTGCATTGTCAGGGCCGTATGCGGAGGGCAATAGCTCAAGACCACACTCATCAAGTTCGTCCCGGCCCGGCTCGACTGGTGCTGAACTTTCTCAACGACATAATGCAACCTTTACCATCGGGCCCCCTGAAAGCTCCGAGTCATCCTCGCGGGATAATAGCCCTTTGGGTACACCTATGGAAGCCGGAGCTCCCACGCCCACCTTTCAACCTCCTTCGAGACCATTTACCCCAGCCGGTGAGCTTGATGACCCTTATGCCAGAAGCAAACGACCTCCTCAGTCGAGGAAGTTGGAAGATATTGAGCCTCGATTTAAGTTTGGAAAGGGAGGCAGACACCATGGCTCGAGTTCGAGTCTTTCCTCGGCCGGCGGGGAAGCTCGATCGGATAAAAAGCATCACTCACATTTCTCGCTTCACTCACTTGGAAAACATCATGACGACAGTTCTACTCTTAGTTTGGGAAACAAGAAGGGCTCAATGTCCGACCTAAAGAGGTTCTTCAGGTCACCCCAAAAACGATCCCAGTCACCCGGCGCCAGCTCCATCCGAAGCTCCAAATCTTCTGTTAGCCAGGTCTCACTAACAGCGCCATTTGCCGATGACCATGGCCTCGCGAAGAAGTATGGGCGTTTCGGAAAAGTGCTAGGTTCGGGGGCTGGTGGCTCTGTGCGTTTGATGAAGAGATCCAGTGACGGCGTTACATTTGCTGTGAAAGAGTTTAGAGCCAGGCATTCCTATGAATCAGAGCGGGAATATGCAAAGAAGGTGACGGCAGAGTTTTGCATTGGTTCTACTTTACATCATGGCAACATTGTGGAAACTCTAGACATTGTCCATGAGCGGGGGAAATGGTACGAGGTTATGGAATACTGCCCATATGACCTCTTCGCAACAGTCATGACAGGCAAGATGTCCAGAGAGGAGGTAGCGTGCTGCTTCATGCAAATCCTAAGTGGTCTTACCTATCTTCACAGAATGGGGCTCGCTCACAGGGACATGAAGCTGGACAATGTTGTGATGAACGAGTATGGTATTCTAAAGATCATTGATTTCGGGAGTGCCAGTGTTTTCAGATATCCCTTTGAGAATGATATCGTCGAAGCTCATGGTAATGTCTCTTGCGAACTTTTAAATTACTTTCTCTAATCTACTTTTAGGGATCGTCGGATCGGATCCATATCTTGCGCCAGAAGTATGCAATGACCTGAAATACGATCCTCAGCCTGCCGATGTCTGGTCACTCGCTATTATATACTGCTGCATGACTCTCCGAAGGTTTCCTTGGAAAGCCCCTCGGCAGTCAGATAATTCATTCAAGCTATTCTCAATGCCCCCGGACGCTCCTAGTGGTTCCAACACGCCGGCTCCGTTACCAACCTCCCGAAACCACCAGAGTAATCGCCCTTCTGCCACTGTTGATCGAGCAGTCTCCAGGGAATCCTCAAAAGCCTTAGAAGGAACGGTTTCAAACCCAGCTCCTACTACTGTCCAGGGATCTGGCCAGCAGGTTAAGGGTCCACACCGTTTGCTAAGGCTGTTGCCACGGGAGTCTCGTCAGATAATCAGCCGCATGCTCGACTTAAATCCTAAAAAGAGGGCCACGCTGGAGGAGATCTGGAACGATGAGTGGATTCGGAGTATATTATATTGTCAGCAGGAAGAAGGTGGGAAAATCGTCAAAGGGGTGGGGCATACGCATGTACTAGAGGGGCAGTCAGGCGGGAGCAATGTTAGTACGAGAAAGAGTGCAAAGTGAGTGGTGAGTGTAGGGGGAAAGGATAATGGCATCGACATCGGGCCGAGATGTTAAGCCATAGATGTATTAGAGCTTGATACGACACTAAACAAAAAAGGAGCTATGGTTCCGTCCTTCGACCCGTAAATCTTCTGCCCCTTCTCCGGCCTTTCTCCCCCACTCCCTACAACTTTTTTCTTCCCGGCAAAGGCTGGGCTTTTTCTTCTTGCGACCCAAACTCAAATACTCTCTTCTTCCTGGCCTGGTATCGGCCGGTGGTTAACATTCAGCGTTATAATATTATATATATTTATTTATTTATTTTTCATTTATTCCCCCTATAGGCATCGATATTTGTTGTACTTATTACTCTTGTTCTCGGTGGGTAGTGTAGGCGATTAGAACATTTTTCTCATATCATAGTTTTCCATACACTAGTTAAATTATACTTATCAATCTCATTTAGCCCCTTCCTCAGATAGTTTTATTTAATCTAGGTCGTCATCTGTGTTTGATATCGGCCTTGCCATTTTCCAGTGTGAAAGCCAGGGCGGACGATTTTCATGATGGCTCGAGGTAGAGAAAGGGTTTCTCCATCTAATCTCGGCGTTTAGGGAGTGCCCCATTCCCGGGCTCGCACTCGGGGGGAGGTTCTTCCACATCATGGTGGTAGGTGGTGCCCTACCGGGAGGTTCCAGAGGGTTCTTCTTTCTGTTCCGAATTCGGACTCGGCTAATGCAAAAGTTTTAGGTGAATTTTTTTTCCACAACCGACAAGCGCTACACACATAAATTGAGGACCGCATCACTTCTGCCCCTCCATCCTCCTCATCCTCATCTCATCCCCCCCCCACCGAATAAACCACAACAACCTTTCCTTCTACTCCTTACCCCGTGCTATTTGGTTTTGCTCTTCCTAAAGAGAATTTTATTGCAATTTCTTTCAACATGGTTCTTCCAAGTGTTGTCCGCTCAGTACGTTTTTTCTTTTTTTCCACCCCTCCGTCAGCGAGCAATTTTTTTTTCCCGACGGCAAGGCGTATGAGGGCTTGGAACTGACATTATTGTTTGTCTCACAGATCCCCCGAACAGCCGCTGCATTGAGACCTACACTTCTGCGGAATGCCGTCAGACCACCCATATCCGCCTTTGCGAGGTTTAACTCCTCAACTCCGGAGGGGAAAGTTCAAGGACCGGTTATCGGTATAGATTTGGGTATGTTTGTATCCGCAATCCCACTCCAATGTGTCCAAGGATTGAGAAATTGTTTGCTAATAATGCCCCAATATCAGGCACAACAAATTCAGCTGTATCTGTGATGGAGGGGAAAATCCCCAAGGTAATTGAGAATGCTGAAGGTGTGCGCCCGTCACTCAGAAGATTTTCGTTGGGTAATGAATTGACGGAATTATATTTCAGGTGCACGAACAACCCCCTCAATCGTTGCCTTCACTGCAGATGGCGAACGATTGGTCGGAATTGCTGCCAAACGCCAGGCTGTGGTTAATCCCGAAAACACCCTCTTTGCCACTAAGCGATTGATCGGGAGAAAGTTCACCGACCCTGAGGTTCAGAAGGATATTTCTCATGTTCCATTCAAGATTGTGCAGCACAACAATGGTGATGCCTGGGTTGAGGCCCGTGGCCAGAAGTACTCTCCCTCCCAAGTTGGGGGCTTCGTTTTGCAGAAGATGAAGGAGACTGCCGAGGCAAGTCTTGGCAAGCCCATCAAGAACGCTGTCGTCACTGTCCCCGCCTACTTTAACGATTCTCAGCGTCAGGCTACGAAGGACGCTGGACAAATTGCTGGTTTGAATGTCGTGCGTGTTGTCAACGAACCCACTGCCGCCGCTCTGGCCTATGGTCTTGACAAGGACCAGGATCGTGTCATCGCTGTCTTCGATCTTGGCGGTGGTACTTTCGATGTCTCCATCTTGGAGATCCAGAAGGGAGTCTTCGAGGTCAAGTCCACGAATGGCGATACCCATCTTGGTGGCGAGGACTTTGATATTGCACTTGTCCGTCATTTGGTCAAGTACTTTAAAATGGAGACTGGTCTCGATCTCTCTGGCGATCGTATGGCTATTCAGAGGATTCGTGAGGCCGCCGAGAAGGCTAAGATGGAGCTTTCTTCCGCCCTTCAGACCGATATCAACCTTCCTTTCATTACTGCCGATGCCGCTGGGCCTAAGCACATCAATATGAAAATGACAAGGTCACAATTTGAGACCCTCGCCAACGACTTGATTCAGAAGTGTATCGATCCCTGTAAGAAGGCCTTGAAGGATGCCGGCCTTAAACCAACCGATATCCAGGAAGTTATCCTCGTCGGTGGTATGACCCGTATGCCAAAGGTTGTTGAGACCGTTAAGGCTATCTTCGGACGTGACCCTGCCAAGACTGTTAACCCGGATGAAGCTGTATCTATTGGTGCTGCCATTCAAGGTGCTGTCCTTGCTGGTGATGTCACGGAGCTCCTCCTACTCGATGTCACTCCCTTATCTCTCGGTATTGAGACCCTCGGTGGTGTCTTCACGCGTTTGATCAACCGCAACACCACAATCCCCACCAAGAAGAGTCAAAGTAAGAAAAGGTCACTTCTCAATATCAACCATTGTTTTTACTAATCCTATCTTAGCTTTTTCTACTGCTGCCGATTTCCAGTCCACCGTCGATATCAAGGTCTACCAGGGTGAGCGTGAGCTCGTTCGTGATAACAAACTCCTTGGTAACTTCCAACTTTCTGGTATTCCTCCGGCCCATCGTGGTGTTCCCCAAATCGAGGTCACCTTCGACATTGACGCCGATTCCATTGTCCATGTTTCTGCCCAAGACAAGGCCACCAACAAGGACCAATCTATCACCATTGCCTCTGGATCTGGTCTCAGTAAATCCGAGATCCAGTCTATGATCAATGACGCCGAGAAGTACCAGGAGACCGACAAAAAACGCAGAGACATCATTGAGGGTGCTAACCGTGCTGAATCCGTTCTCGTTGATACTGAGACTGCCTTGAAGGAACACCAGAGTAGCCTTAACAAGACTGAGACCGATATCATCCGGGGGAATATCACCACCCTCCGTGAGACCGTTGCTAAGGTTCAGTCGGGAGACAATTCAATCACTGCCGATCAGTTGAAGGAGCAAACCGATGCCCTTCAAACTGCATCCCTGACTTTGTTTGACAAGATGCACCGCGCCCGCTCCCAGGCAGCTAACCAGCCCCAAGACTCTGACCCCTCCGCCGACCCTGAGAGTGACGATGATGGTGAGAAGAAGGAGTAAGATGATGAATGATGTGGGTTTCGAAACGCGATAATGATGGAACACAAAATTTTAAATTCCCGAGGTATAATGATGATTCGCGTTTTTCTATCTTTTACAAAAAAACTCAAGTGCTGTTTTTTTTTTTCACCCTCAGCTAGACTCATGCATACTTTTTTCCTTTTACCTTACTATGTCTTAAGTTCATCCAATATTTTCACCAGCCTTCTTGTATTTTCTTTTTTACATACTCTTTTTCTCTTACTACTCTCATGGTCGGTAGCTCAAAAATTTCCCCTTTCTTTCACCTTTCCTTCGCTCAATCTCGGTCCGCTTTCCTTATCCGTATACTCCTTCTCGAAGCCTCTGGGTGGAAGGTACGCCTGTATTAAAAAACTATCTCCGCTCTGTAATATTACAATTGGATATTCACACTACTTCACATTACCCCTTCCTACGGTATTCTCCACAGTTTCACACATGCGATACTCTACTAGTGCCGCAATAGCAACCTCCAAGAGCACACGAATGTGGAAGTGAAATCATTCGATCGCAATTGCAGCCGCCCAGCCAGCTAACGTACAGTGAACATTACCATACTTGTACATTATCATATACTACTTGTACTACCCGCCATTCCAGAGTACAGCAGAAGATTGATTTCATTCATGATACTATGATAGGCTAAAATTTACATCCCATCAACCCTCCCGATCAACAACCCTAACCTTCGGCACCAACTCCTTCAACCGGCGCTTTTCCTCCTCGCTGGGCACAAGGTCGAATTTCTCTTCTGCCACGTCGGTTAGGAGGAGGCCCACGCCCGCGTAGAGGATCACCCCGCTGCCGATGATGAGACGGGTTTTTGTGGAGAGGGATTTGTAGAATCTGGTTTCGTCAGTTGTATGAAGATGGGTAAGGGTTAGGGGGGGGTTGTTACTGCCAGATTGGCATTGTCTGACCGATGGTTTTTTGTCGTTTCGTTTCCTGGAAGAGGTTGTGTGGTAAGTTGAAGTGGGGTTGATGGGTGATGGATGGGTTGATGTGGGTGAGAGGGGGGGGACGAGATGTGGTGGGATGAGGCGGGATGGGATGGGATGAGGTTGGTTTTTTGTCGTACCGCAGCAAGCAAACTGGATGCTTAAGTTAGATATGATACGACGGCGATTTGTGTTGGTATTTGATATTTACATGTCTAGTCACAATTCTATTTTAAATAAGTACTAGAGTATGATACAGTAACGAAACGACCATGTGGAGTCTATCTAGAGCCTCCAGTGTCGGCCGGGTTTTTTCTTTTTAAACCACAGCATATCTTATCATATCATACATCCCTCCCCTCCCCGGACAACCAGATCGCTACTATCACATGGCGATCTTAATCCCGATTGTCCTCGCCTGATGGATCACACAACCGGCAATTGCCCTCAGACTTAATCCGGACAATCGAACCTCCTAAAGATACCCCTATTAGCTCTTTCTGCTAATATCTTCTCCACTGGGTGAGATGAGCACACACAGTCTGCTTAATCTTCGCAATCTCATAAACATGCTTCAACCCGATCTCGCCAACCCATTCCTTCCCGGGATTGCTGGCACCCTTCATACGACCCTTTTTATCGAGTGGTAGAGCTGCGGCTTTCTTGAGTAGCCATGAGGTTGGGGGAGTGCGGACATCGAAGGTGAATGAGCGGTCTGGGCGAACGGTTATGCGTACTGGGGTGGGCGTGCCCTGGGGGGGGGGTAGATAGTTGGTTAGTTAACTGCCGTGTGAATTGGGGAGAGCAAAGCGAGGGTTTGTGTGTACGGGTGTTATGTGTGCTGTGCGGGCGTTGAACTCCTAAATAATCCGAGTTAGGGAAGGCTTCGATCAGATGAGTGTAGAGTATAGAGTTCACTTTGCAAAAGTCCATTGACTTAACTCCCTTGCTACCCAATGCCGGACCAACTGGTGGTGAAGGGCTCGCTTGTCCCGCACCTACAATGAGTTTGACGATTTGATTCTTTCGCGCAACTGCTCGGGACATGGTTGTTGTTGATTTTTTTCCCCCCTTTTCTCCCTCCGCAATTGCAGTGTCTTTGGTGGGAAGGCCCTGGTGTTTGGTTATTACCGTTACAGGATTGAGGGAGGGGCGACGTGGGGTGGTTAGTGCTCACATCTCCCCAACGGTAGGGGGCTTAGGGCTTAGGGCCGAAGTGTAGGGTTTGAGAAACAAAAGAGTCTTTTCTTTTAGTTGAAGCTTTCGAGACCCGTTTGTAGAGATTGTCAGCCTTGATAGCTAGGGGTGGTATTCGAATCTGCACGGTATTTGGGGATGAAGAATGTGGAGAAGGTATCGAGCTCGGGACAGGGACAAAAGTTATGATAGAGCATGTTCATTCTGCCAACTGCAGATCTGCCGTCATGCCCCCCCCCCCATACCGGTACCGGTACCGGTACTCGTACCGTACCCAAGTAAGCTTTTACAGTAGCACGTCTGATCAGTCCTTTTTTTTTCTTCTCTTTTCAGCGAGACTTGGCGTTTTGAACCTCAGCTTCTGAGAGCTTCCTCGTCGTGCCTTGAGGTTTGTAGGAGAGTGTTAGGTTTCTTTTTCTCTCCCACCTGGCGACCATTCAATTCTCTCCGACAGCACACACCATTCCTCCTCCTCCTTCACCTCACCTCGTCTCTCCCCGACAAACAGATAGGTGCACAGATCTGTCGTTTGTCGGACCTTCCGCCAGCTGCGAACAGCCACTCCAGTAGTCAACAAGTCAACTGCTTCCACACGAGCAGTTTACAACTACTCAAGCAAAGAAGCAGAAAACTGAACGAAGGCATTTATAAAACCAGAAATTATGCCTCCCAAGAAGCGTCCTGCAGCACAGCCGGATTCAAGAGTGACCAGGTCCTCGACGAAGAAAACTACCCAAAGGCCTACTGGTGCTCAGTCGAACACCCTAGCCCCCCCTCCTCAGCCGAGCTCAGCCTCTATGTCTGCATCCACCGGTAGGAACGCCACCGGCTCCAGAAAGAGGAAACAAGCTGTAATCGACCTTATTTCTTCCGGCGACTCGGAAGCAGAATCAGAACCAGACAGTGCAACAATGGGGAACTCGCACAGTAGACACAGGAAGCGTAGGCAACATGAATCCCCTGCTACAAAGCCGACAAAGAAGTCTGCAAAGAAGGCCAGGACTGTGAGCTTCCATTTCGATTTTTTTTCTTTCTCCTGTCGTGTTATTATTTACTTTCATTATTGTTCTAAGCGGCGGGAGAATTTTATTATTGATGCCAGTTCTTCTAGGCTCGTGCTCTTTCCCCTGACACCGTCCTTACACATTGGTTCGATGAGCTCAAAGGTGCGCATCTCAAGGTTATCATCAGTGCTTGAATTCAGGGACTGACCATTTTTCAGGCGATACTGACGAGATAATGATAACGGACTCGGTCTCGTGGATGGAATCCCTCGGTGTGTCACCAGAAGGGATCGCCTTCTGGGTAATTGCCTATTGGTGTGGAGCGAAGGGAAGGGGGGCCATTGAGCTTAAAGAGTTCATGGATGGGATGAAGGCTTTGGGGTGAGTTGTCCCTGAAGGGTTGCCGGGTATAAACCATGCTGACGATGTTCTATTAGTATTGACACCAACGACTCTCTCAGACGCGAACTTCCGGCCCTTCTGCGAGATGTGGCACCTGGTAGCGACCAGTTTCAAAAGTTCTATTGGTTTTGCTATGAGTTCTTCAAGGCTGCCGATGCAAAGTATTTGCCCTTGGACATGGCATGTGCGATGTTTACAGTCCTTCTCGATGAAAGAAGCTACACCACCAAGTGGACCCCTCCAGCCGAATCGGGCAACACTTTAAAGGCGAGGAAATCTATAATTTGTGAAAAGTTTCCCCATAAACATGCCTTCATAGAATTTCTCGGCTCCACTCCGCCACCCACTAAAGTGATTACCAAGGACCAATATCGGCAGTTTATTCCGTTCAACGAACAGGTAGACACCGATTTCAACGGGTACACCATAGAAACCAGTGTTTGTAGGTATTCTTTCTTTTCATTTTGTATCTGAGATTTGACTCACGCAATTTTAGGGCCATCTCTCTTCGACCAGTTTGTCACCTGGAGTAAGGAGAAACAGTCAAAAGGCGAGGATTCCATGGATCAATCGTAGCGTTCTAATCGTATCGATGCGGACATCGGAAATCTGCCCTCCCCCCATGGCCGTCACGTCCATACACAAATTTCAACACAAATTAGCTCATGCCTTTTCTTCTTTTGTATCTAGTTTTCTTTCGGTTTCCGGGTTCCTGGGTTTGCATATCATATCATGAAAGTACCCTTTTTGAGGTATCATAACTGGCAATGTGGTGTTTTCTTCTTCTTTTCTTCCCGTCTTTTCAATGCTGCAATGGTATAATAATGGTAAACAAGGCATGGCTGGAAGGGTAAACGGGCTACCCGAGATACCATAATTCATACATGGCAGTCTGGTTTAGAATAGGGAATACATGAGGGGTATCCGATAGTACGATTGAGCTAAGGGATATACAAATATATGTGCCAAACGCCCCTACTGTGATTTCAAAACATCCTCCAACATTAATCGTGCTTTGGCTTCTCGTTTGTCAAAGACTCTGTTAAACATTGCCGGTATTCTGGAGAGTCTGTGGGAGTCTGTGTGGTTCTCGATTAATATCCCGTTTAACTCGCTTGCTGTCGGGAGAGATGGAAACAAGACTGGGGAAACGTACGAACATGATCCTCCGAAAACCTCACCCTCCCCTCACAAATTTCAGCAACCTTCTCCAACAACCCCCTACCAATCCCCTTTCCTCTATACCTTAGCCTAACCGCCCACCCATAAATCACCCCGTCCCCATCCCCATTCCCCCTCTCAAAAACCACGACCCCAATGACCTCCTCCCCCCAGAGCGCGCCCACAACTTCCCTCTTCCTGTCCCCACCAAACATAGCCACCAACCCACTCCGACTCCCCATCCACTCCGCCCGCTCAATGTATCCGTAACTCAGGTACCCACAGGCCGACAGCACGGCAATCGCGTACCCGGTGAAAAGGATGGCAGCCATGCTGAGGTACTCCTGCGTGCGCAGGAGGTAGACTGCCACCACAAGCGTGGGCGGCAGCGTCAGGTGTGGGTGCGAGTACAGGAGTGAGAGGGTTAGGGTTGAGCGGAATTGGGCGATTGAGTCCGTTAGGAGGGTGTATGCCGGTAGGAAGTGCTCTGAGGTCGGGGGGAGGAGGGTGAAGGTTAAGTCCGGGAGGGGGGGGTCTGTGGGGGGAGTTGCTGTTGTTGTCATGTTTTTTTTTTTTTTTTTTTTGTGGAGCTGAGGTGGGCCTTTTCGTTGGTGGTGGCCAGAATATTAGTACTCGAGCTGGTAGTTTTGGGAGAGGGAGGAATTGCGGGTGTAAATAAAGACTTGGGAAGGGTTGGTAGTAGGGGAGAGTGGGATATAAGCCTTTTTTTGTTTCACCCTTTCTTCCGTAGTGCGTGGAAGAGGAAAAAATATCATACTTGGCACCCCCGCAACGTGTTATTAGAGCACGTGGGTTGCATGGGGTGTCACTCGAGGTTTGGCATGAAGCTCGTTGGATAAGGTCATCCAGAAGTTGAATCGGGAGATATCTGATTTTCGTAGTATTAATATGATACCGGTATCCCCAGAAAGAGGAGCTGGTGCTTCTCCCACCTGTGCACATGTATCTGTTAACCTCGACTCACAGCAAAGCGCACCCCCGGTTTGCTAGACAACACGTGGGGTGAAAGGGCCACCCGCGGGGTGCGACTATCTAATGAAATACGTTGTATTTCCGGGCCTAGAAAACCCCTGAAACAGTATATGCAATACCTGTTATCGTATCTCAACCCCGAGTTCTGACCCCGGCATCACACGAGAATCCTTTTTAGGCCTCAGCTGCAATATACCGTGAAACTACCACAACGCAGAAAGCCGGTCGGGAACGGTCAAGCTTGATAGACCTTGAGGTTGCTTTACTCAACCCCGTATAACCTAACTTTACTTAACCCCGGGGGATCACTGCACGACCTGTCATCACCATTGCACTGGCAGCTTGGAAGGTGTCAAATTTACCGTTTCCGTGCTGTCCTTGCCTGTTGAAATTGCCGGTCAATGATAGATCATATCGAGTATCGAGGGGGCGATCCGGTCATGCTCCGCTTTCGGAAGTGCTGGAATGGCGAAACGTAAGTACTGTACTGTACTGTACTGCGGTTGTAGTTATTCCGGGATGGCATGGTCTGTGCTGGTACAATACAAAGGGATGCTGTAGTATTCGAGTAGTCTAGTACTTGAGTAGAGTTTTGTTGGCACACAGATAAAAGCCAAGAAATATGTCATCAGTGATTATCACCACCGTATAAATTTATGCATCAGGGGGGGACCAATTCAGCAGGAGTTACTCGGGAAATCGGGGTAATATCAGGAAGGAAATATTGGCATCTTGGCTTGGGTTTCTATTTTATTTTCGGGGTGGGGGTGGGGGTGGGGGATTTAAGTACATATGATATCAATTGTCGAAAGCAGTGGTGGTGTTGCTGTGATGTCCCTATTGTTTGAAAAGAGGTTTCATCAGTGATTATGTGAGAAATACCGTAGGTTTTTTTTTCTTTTTCGGATATCATATTCGTATGATTCGTGCTCCAAAACCAGCAAGAGGTGTTGACCATTTTTGAATGGCCATATGCCCCCACCACGTTTAAAATATCGACTCGAATTAAAAAAAAAAAAAAAAAGAAACCACCTCGAAGTGATTTGAGGTCTTAATCGTGAGATACACTGGATTGAAACATTGCAGCCCGGTGTGGGTTTTGGATGGGACAAATCTTACCCTCCGTTCTTGATCCCACCCATTGCAACTTGATTATTATCGGCATTGTGTTTCAGCGCAAACCGAACACGGCGCTCCAAAACAAGAATTTAAAAGTTCTACCGCAAACCTCTCTACTCGAGTACCTGTATTCTATGTCAAGATTAAGAAGGTTATGAGGTGGCAACCAGATGTGCCCCTAAGATTAAATTTGTTATCAGTAGGAGCCCGGGGGGCTTCTATTGATTCCCGGAGTTCTATTGATGAAGTGATATGATAACGGGCTTCTGACAATTTCCAAATCATAAGATTAGATTAGATGGCCTTTTTCTCCTTCTGCATAATTATGATATCGGGGCATGATATGCCCGTATCAAATAGTATACGATAATTATATATTCAAGTGGGTAAATTTGGAACTTCCCCGGGCTCCGAATCGTGGTATTTGCACCAACAATTAATGGCCCCTGATAATACTTGTGCAGTACTTTACTCCTGTGCGCGGAGGTGGGGGGCGGATATGTTAAGACTGGGCTACGATATTGTGGGGGGTTTGACAAATGATTCTTTCCCTCCCCCTCCATGCAGCAGGGCAAGGGTGAAAGTAGTTGGAAATGGATATTCGTGGACGCTAGTGTAGGGGTAAAATTCTCTTTGTTAACTGCTTGACTGGTGCTCTGGGCCTCTCTCTCTGCGCCTAAGCTTGTAATCGCTCGACCTGAGATTTTTGCACTGAGAGGTTGCGATATGGATTAATGAATGTGATAAATCTCTCACCCAACGGTAGATGGGTAGAAATGCAAAGGAACGGTATTGGCCGTTGCTTGAAGAGGCGAAGAAAAAAGCTTGACCAACCGATATATAAATTCGTGGCGATTGATGAGACGTGATTTATCATAACATACTCAAAGGTACGGTGTTGCGCTCAGCAAGGGATGGGTGATGTTGGGGTTGAGCGCGAAATCAGATAAGTACAGCTGTACAGATCCATTCGAATCGACCAATGGGAGGAGGGATATATTGGCTTACCATCCTTTTATCAGTTGCTCGGCACGAATCTGCAAGTTTTAACAAGCTGTTTCGGCGGACCGGTTCATCGTGAGGGAAAAAGATCTCTCTCCCAGATTGTCCCCCCGTTTTGGAACAGGGACGGCAGAGAAGATACTCTTTGAAGAAAAAAAAAAAGGCGAGAAATCGCATGGGGAAAAGAGGAGACATGGGCAGGCACAGAATGAGAATTTGATATGAGCTTATCACATTATCATCATCGGTGACAGGAGCAGTTCGTGGGAGCTTGGATCCACGCTCTCTCGTGGTATCCTTTGGGAGGAGACCGTCTCGGTACCTTCCTCACCCCACAGGATAACCTTATCACTATGACCGGAGTGCTCTGCGAGGGGGAATCGACCAATATGGGGCTGTAGATGTGTGTATCAGGATTACCAGGTGGGCTACATAGAAGATTGTCTGTATTGAGAATAAGTCTGTTTCTTCTTCCTTTTACGGTCCCTGGTTCCAGTTGATCTTGGTGTCGCCGAGCCTGCCAGACTCGGGATCCCTTACGAGCGGATTTTTTTACTTTTTCTTAAGTTTACATAACTTTCTCTCTTCCTTCCATTCTCTCTCCTCCTCCTCCTCCTCCTCCTCCTCCCCACCCTGCTATCGACAACCTAACCTGCACCAGTATATAATAACAACCTAACACCTTTTCCATTCCACCCCCGGAATAACGCAATCTTCTACTCCGCCCTAGCCTACCCTATCTGCTTACCCGCAATCCCCGACCCTCTGCGGCATGCCTGGGAAGCTGCTGTCTGACTCGTTTACTTCACTCGCCATGTCTTCCTCGACCTCGACACCTAGTGTCACAACCGTCGCCGCCGCATCTGCTCCCGCAGTCACCCCTTCCTCACCGTCACCCACCACAAACCTGCCTAATACCACAACAACTGCTGCACAACCACCACCACCACCACTACCACCGCTTCCCACACTACCCTCTCCTACTTTGGAGCTCGCGGCTACCCTTGCTATTGACACCCAGACAAATACAGACAATTTGGAGACTTCAACCTCAAATATGTCGGTTCAAGATCATGACAGGGACGCTACTGTAGATTCAATTTCGCAGAGAGTCTCGCTAACGTTACAAGAACATGCACAACATGCACAACAGTCGATTAAACAGCAGCAGGATTTGCAGCAGTTACAACAGGTGGCTCTGCAACAGCAGCAATCTCAGAATCAATCATCTCCTCAACTCGAAGCACAACCGCCACCACCGCCTCAGCAGCGGCAGCAACAGCAACAGGTCCAGCAGCAGCAGCGGCGGCGGCAGATCCAGCAGCAGCAGGCCCAGCAGCAGCAGCAGGAGGCATCACCAGGTCCTAGCGGTGGCCAAGTTTGCAGGTACGCTTTTTGTCGTACATCCGCTTTTATCCCTTTATTTCTAGATTCAGTTTTTTACCCTTATTCTTTTTTTACTCTCCCCTGTTTTCCTTTTTTTAGTTCTACTGGGTCTCGGAATGTGCTCATATCTTCTTGGGCGGGAACGCGAACAGCAATTGCCGCACTACACGTACACCTCTTTGGCGCCGTGCACCGGATGGCCAAACTATTTGCAACGCCTGCGGGCTGTATCTGAAGGCTAGAAATCAATCACGCCCTACAAATCTAAAAAGACCTCCTCACGGTTCTACTATAGGCTCTCTTCAGTCTTCATTGGGGGCCACTTATGTTGCTGCCGACCAGGTCGCTTCGGGAACCTGTCCGGGTGGGGGTAGATGCAATGGGACTGGAGGAGCGGAGGGATGCAATGGGTGTCCTGCTTTCAACAATAGAGTCAGCAAAGCAGCGCAGTTTACTGTAGCAACCTCGGCAAATGGAAATACGATTCCCATGGACCCGGCGCTCACCAGCCAAGACTCTGCTTCTCCGTGTCCTTCTGCTTCGGTGCAACAGACTCAGCAGCAGCAGCAACAAGCTCAGCGGCCACAAGCTCAGCAAGCTCAGCAATCCCAGCAATCCCAGCGGGCCCCTCAATCCCAACGACCACCTCAAATCCGTCAGCCGTACACACAGGCTACGGTTGTTAGGACAGGCTCCCCCACGAATACTACGGTTGTCGTGGCATGCCAGAATTGCGGGACAACCATCACACCGTTATGGCGCAGGGATGAGAGTGGTCATACAATTTGCAATGCGTGCGGTGAGTTATAATTATTTCAGCTTGACCAATCCTCCCGTGTAGTTTTCTTATCAGATCGTACGATGCGGATTGCTAGAGGCGTTTAATCTTCTTGAATAGCCGAAGCCAGTAACGTGGTTTCCCTTGTTCATGTAGTGTCACCCCTAACCCTTGATGATCTGATTTGATTCGATTGATAATCACCTCATCACCTGCACGTATTCGGGTCAATCTGATATGCCTTGCCGCGGCATTTTTCTTCTTATTTTAAATTCCCCTGTGCTTTTTCTTTTGTATTTTTGTATTTCCATTACACTTGGTTTATGCATCCTATTCCTTTTTACGCTTCTCATATTTATTACTTTTTCATTCTCGGTTTTTTTGTTGGTAAGATTGGGAAGATAAAAGATTGAAGGATTACTGATCTGTGCGATAAAGGCCTTTACCATAAACTCCATGGCGTGCATAGGCCAGAGGCTATGAAAAAGAGTGTCATTAAACGACGAAAACGAGTCGTTGCTCCGACAAATGGAAACAACAATACTAGTCCCGCCCCCGCTCCTGCAGCTATCCCAGGAAATGAATTTCGCCAACAGCTGTCGGCACAAACTCCGACACCTGCCGGCAGGGCAGACTCGTTCTCAGCAGTCCAGCCGCAGGGACAGCATGACCTACAGCCGACTAATGTATCGGACGATGACACGGTTATGAGTGACGCGAACGGGAATTCCTTGAGGCAGCTGCAACATCCCGATCCTGAGCAGAGACAATACCCCCCACTTGTGGACTTTACAGGGGCTTTCCGTGAAGCCAGAACTGATAATAACCCAGTGTCTACCACCGAAGTGGATTCGAATCAGACATCCATTCCCTCCGGTCTCTCCGGTTCTCCTTCTGCCGCCCTCGCCCAATTATCCGCTGACACCCCTTCACAACCACGCAAACGCTCTCTATCAGTTGCGGAAGCTGACGGTGATAATCAACGCACTCATTCCATCAATTCGATATTAAACCCTCACGGTCAAATGAGTAACGTACCCATCGAACCTAGCCTCCTTGCTCTCGGTGTGGACGGCAACGAAACCATTCTCACCGCGGAGCAAAAGAGACAGATGCTCCTCCAACGCAAGGACTACCTCGAGCGCGAGAGCAAGCGTATCAAGGCAGAGATGGAGGAGTGCGACAAGGAATTGGAGAGGTTGGCAACTACAGCGTCTGTCACCCCAGGAGATGATGAAGTTGTGATCATGGCAAACGGAATTTCCACCGCCGGCGGATTCTAGCGGTATCCGCCCTTGGGATTAGAAATTTATTATACCTAGTTCACTTCTTCCGCACCTTCTTTGTTGCTTTCGGAAACACACATTAGCGGGGTAGTATCGAAACGGTAATGGCGAGATGTATCATTCGATGTTGTGGGGCATGGAAGTTAGGCTACCAAGGAGGTTTCATTTTCAATCAAAGGGATGGGATTTAGGTGGATAGCCTCGGAAGCTTTGGCATGTTTCGGTCTTTTCCTTGCTTTTCTATCAACGATTCCTTTTGGGTTCTGGTATGCTTATTGTTTCTTCACTTTTTATTTTATTTTATTTTATTTTATTTTAACCTTCTGTTGGTGTGTTCCTGTATCTCATACACCCGCTTTACTTGACACATACCCGCTCTCCCACTTCTCATTGGCTACTCTTTTTATCTTTCTGATGCTATGATGTGAACGCCCTCCACGCTTCCCCCGTTGCTCTATTTCCCTATTCTCATCTCGGATGCAAGGTTGGTTTGTGAGAATTTGGTCAGTTGGTGAGGTGTTTAGTTTAGTTCAGTTAGGCTTAGTTTACGCTCGAGTATATAGCTCATTCCATTCCTATTGCTTCCTCCTTCTATCCCTCTAGCATATGTGACAATGGGGAATCATTGTATCGTACTTGTACTTTATTCTCTTACTTTTGTTTCGTGTTTCATTTTCAAGTTTTCAAGTTTGCCTTTCCTCTCTACGAATTCCTAGGCTAGGGGAATCATTGGTTAGTCGGTTTGGGCTGGGGAGGTGACTGTACTCTAATGTTTTCATTGGTAATGAATAGCGTTTACTAGTCATGGCGCGTCACTCGGGAGATGTTCGTCTGGCCGTTCAAATTTTATGATTATCCGGTGGGGCCGCTTGGCTGGTAGGAGGGGTGCCATAGAAATGCGGGGAGAAGGTGGGGGTGTGTTTCATTTGAACTGTAAATTAAGAATATAAGGATACAGCGTCCCAGTATGGCAAGATACCGCACCGCATTGTGACATTTTGAAAAAAGGAAAGAAAATAATGAACGGGGCCGGTCCGGAGCTGAGGAGTATCATACCATACCGGTATTGAGCGCATGAGGAGTTTGAAGCATTGCATTGGTCTAAAGGAAGAGCGTGGATTGGCTCTCCCTATACACACGCATCCGTGAACACACCCTCCAAATTGCCACAGAGTCGGGAATCTGAGCCTTTTTCTCTTCCCCCCTCCCTTGTCGATACAATCCTCGATCCCTGGAGAAGGAGAGAACCCACGAGTGATCCCTATGGAACTATCACTATCACGCTGTCGCTATCTTCCCCGCAGTGAGTGGGTGAGTGAGTGAGTGAACGAGCGAGTGCGAGGGTTTTCGAACCTCTGGTAAAGCTGCTCCAGCCAGCAGTCAGGTTTTAGAAGTAATACACCCTCTCCACCAGCATAAGTGGGCACCTGAGTACCCCCTCTCCCCCACCCCCCCTCCCCTCCCTCCTACTCGGGCAATTGGATCTGATATGTATGTATACCCGCTCGTCATATCATACCTGTTTGCGCGCAAGTGGGTCGTTGAGATCTGCGCTACCACTCATACGTGTTATACATCTGAATTCAACCCGCATTCCCGGACCCTTAGGGCCACGTCCCCCCTTTTTTTCCCCTTTTATTTTTATTTTTCGTTTTTTCTTCGGAAGTTCATAATGCGGCGCGGGTATCAGAGTATGGGGTAATGATCGTTTATATTTGATTTGATAGTGATGGGTTTTTATTTTTATTTTTTACTTCAACAGCGGGAGGGAGGGAGGGAGGGAGAGCCTTTTTTTCGCTATGATTATGGGTGTGGTATGATGTGTGGGGGGGGGGGGGTTGGGTTTGGGAATGGACTAAGCGTCGGGTTTGTGATTTATTGGAGCTTTTTGGTATGCTGGGCGAACTTGTTCCCTGGTGTGATCGCACTTGTACACTTGGTGAAATTGGGGGGCACTTTTGGAGGAATGATTGGCTTTACTGTCATGGATGCTCACTCGCGATTTGGATTTGCTGGGCCGGTTTGAAACGAGTGTGGTATTGCTATGTGGTGGTTTTGGTTCGGGTATTTTCTCTTCTTCTCCTTCTCGAGCGTTAACCAACGACAGGAGGGTTGGCCGGTTGGCCGAAGGATCTATGCGGGACCGAGATTGTTTACTATGATAATATCCTAATGCTAGGGCTCCGGTCTCATAAACGTCCTCACCAACTTCTATATTATATGCATGGCGTGATTGGGGGCAACAAACGGGTTTAACGATAATGGAAACGGAGAGGAAAAATAGAAAACAAAACGCCGACACCACCATTATCATCCACTCGTTCCAACTCAACACCAGGCAAACCTCTCATTAGCGAACCATTCCACTTCCCCAACTGTACTCCCCATTCTAGGCTCATACATCATGACGCTGGGAATCGAGTCTGCCTCCCTCTCGACCACCTGTCCACCGAGTTCCTTTCCGGCTTCCTCCACTGCCTCCTTCGGGTTCCAAACGTGCACGCACGTGAGACCGCACTCCCTCGCCTCGGCCAATGCCGCGGCCAGCAGGTCCTTTGCGTCCTCCTTGCTGGGCTCGCCCGCGACACGGAGGACGTGGAGTTTCGTCTCAGTCTTTTGAAAGTCGTGGGTCCAGACAACCCACGCTGAACCCGAGGTCGTGATTGCGCCTTTGGTGGTAGGAGGGGGGCGGTTGGTGACGTTGGCGAGGTACTCTGCACGGGCGAAGTGCCAATCGAAAGTTTTTGGGTCGGGGTGGAAGGTGATACGGGGTTTGAGGGCTGGGGTGGAGGTCATGCTGACTTTCAAGGCTTTGATGTCCTGAGCACAGAGGGGAGGGAGGGAGGAGGTTTTCAGCGGGATTGTCTTGGTGGTGACTGCGGTGGGGGAGGAACTGGGGGGTACTGGAATGCTGAGGTGGAGTGAAGCATGCGGATGCCATCCTAACTTCTTGTAGAATTCCTGGTGGGGGTGACAAGAAAGAGTTAGCTTTCCCTAATACTGCTACAGGTGCGGCCGGCTCGATAGAAAACATCTCCCACCTTCCCGATATCCGAGTAGAGTGCACTCAAGGCGCTCTCCCCGCCATGCCACTTCAGCTCCTCCGCCAGCATCTTCAACATAATGCTAGCGTACCCTTTCCCTCTCATCTCGGTCGGCGTGAAAACGCTCCCGATACCATGTCCATGGCTAACCCGTACCTCATTGCTTCCGGCTTCCACAACAAACACCTCTTTGTGGATGCTCTCGCAAGAAGCAAGGATTGTGGCCGGGTTGGTGGTGGGGTCCACGAGAACCCAATTTGTCAACCTACCGTTCCCTGTTAGGGTGGTGCTTGAGAGGATTTCCTCGCGCTTGAGGTATTGCTTTAGTGTTAGGTGTTCGCCCCAGTATCCTTTGTGCGCGCTGCGGATTTGGACGAGCTCTTCGGGGGTAGGGTTGCGGAGGTGGTGGTTTGTTGTTGGCATGGTAAGTTATTTGGTTCGGGCTTTCGGTGGTGGGTCTGTTGGGGGAGGAGGGTGGGTGGTAATCAGCTCAGAGGAGTGGGAGGGGGCGGGGGTATAAAGAGTGGATTTTTAGGTTTTTTTCTGGGTAGGCGATCTGATGGGTTCGCCTCGTCCCCATGTGGTGGATGGGAGAGAGGGAGAGGAAGGGGATCGGGGGTACAGTACTTGTACCCCGCATTACCAGCTATTATATGATATTATAGCTATGAAGCTCGTCGTAGCTTGTCCGTCATGGTGTGCCCCGTAACCCCTATAACATTAGAGATGGGTTACGGTTGAGGCTGGGCTACGGTACGGTATCCCTCCCTCACTATCGGTACTTCTGTCCTTCATCTCTGGAAGCCTGTTAGCAAACCAAGCTTCGACGTCAGGAAGGTTTATCTTGAGGAGTTGTCCAATTGGACAACTTGCCAGAAGCTCGAGTGAAGCGTTAGTCTGACTGCTTCCATACATAACAGGTTATGCCTCGTGACTTGGATTGGCAACTGCCAGGGAAGGAGGTTGTGGAAGATGCCCGTGATCCGGATTGTGATGCAAGGGACATGGATGGATGGATGGGTGGGGATCGGGGGAGAGAGCTAATTTACCGGTATCCCTACATTATCACATCATTATATTGATTGTCTACCCGTCGTTGTTGTTGTGTGATTACATGGAATGTACAAGTACGGTACTGACGTCTACATAGATACATGGGTAGGCACACGTGGGTTAATGATAAGAAGTGAGGTTTTCTCCAGGTTTATTACCGAAGATAGCTTTCCTTCCTCTCCCCTCTCATCGCGCAACCTAGGAGCTCCTGAATGCATTCCCCAAAGGTTAAATTTCGTATGTCGACTTGATTTATTTGACGGGGACGAGTTTTATCGATTTCCAAAATACTTGAGGGAACTGAATGAATTCGAAAGAGAAAACTCCACCGTAAAAAAAAGGTAACAGGAAGCCAACAAGAGCCTTGTTTGGGCAATTCATCGACAATCAAGATGCTTCTAGGCCTCATTTTGCTGATAGAGCCAGGGGGGTTATCGTCATACTTGTAAAGCTGTTGGGAAATGTCATAGGAGTTTATTAATGAGACAACTCGACTTTTTTTTTTTTTTTTTTCAAAGTGTTCTGGAAATCGCAATAAACTCCGGTTGGTAAAGAGTATGATACATATTGTTGGTGTTATCATAAGTTACTCCGTTATGAGTGGGGGGACTTTGTATCATATCTTCGGCAAGGTGGACCGAAGGGAAGCGGTGGAAAGCGGGATTGAGATTGATGATGGAAGGTGGTCCAAAGAGGGATGAGTTCGGGATGCTTGCCTTGTCATTTTTATCACTACAATGACATTGTTGGAATTACCATGGCATTGTTAGGATTGTGCTTTTCCTTTCATTTGTGGATGGCGACGGAGGGGTGTTATTGTTTCTTTGTTTACATTTCTTTCTTCAAACGAACCACTTTACTACCCTTCTTCCCTGCAGTAACGCGAACATCAACATCATCACGATATGGCATACAATATGCGACAAAGTAACTTTAGAGGCTCTCAGAGCAATTCGAAGGCCCCGGGCTCGACCATGAAGGGAAAACAGCAACAGCAGCAATATGCCGCAGATAATCATCTCTTACTCGTACACCCCCCCTCCCTTCCATCTCCCCTTCACCTCCCTTGGAGGAGTCATTCTAATGATCGAGCAGAAAGATAATGAACTGGTCGACTGCATCAGCGAGCTTGGTATCCCCTTCCAAATGGAGGACCTCAAAAAGCCCTCCCCGCAAAAGATCCAACTGGTCTTTGAAATGTTCGCCGACCTCCTCATGGGCGTCCGCAAGGAGACCGTCGAACCGGTGCTGAACGCCGCAGCACAACAGGTTCTCGAGTTCCCCGATACGCAAACCGACTCGCACACCCTCATGGCCTTCTACGTATCCCTCAGCCAGCTCATGCTCGAGTGCGGAATCGAGGACTTCACTTTCAATGACTTGGCGAAACCGGACTCTACGCGCCTGACCAGGATACTCAGCTACGTCATCAACTTTACCAGGTTCCGGGAGGAGCGGGCCGGTGTCATCGACGAGCACTTTGGCAAAGCCCAGAAGGCGAAGGAGAAGATTGAGCAGCTGTACTTTGAGAACGAAGATCTGAATAATCGGCTGCAGGAGTTGAAAATGCAGAGGCTTAAGGAGGAGCCTATGATCAATAAGGCGAAGAAGGTCCTGAGTGCGCTTGTGGCAGATTTGGAGACGGTCAGGAAAAGGCAGGGGGCACTTACGAATGATTTGGACAGGTTGAAGCAGTTGAAGGTTTCCCACGTTCAGACACTGGTATATCTTCTCTCCAATGCTCCCATTACGCGTTTGTGGTTGTAGCTAATTGATCCGCAGGAGGATCGCCAATACCTCAAAGTGAAAACCCAGCAAGAAAACAACAAGATCCGTCCATACATCGTCGACTCCCCGCAAAAGCTGCAGCAAGTAATAACCGATATGGCCAACTCCCTCGGCGCAGAAAAGGCGGCACATGACAGCCTGGAGCGCAAGTCCCGCTCTCTCCAAACCTCAGCAGACTCCTTCGTGATTGTGGAACAGGACGTAGCTGGCTGCGTCAAAGTTATGGAAGAGGTCGAGCAGGAGCTCGTTAAGGAGGAGGAAACCTCAAGACGGGCATCTCGCCACACCGAAATCCTAACTGTCAAGCAGACAGAGGTGCACGAAGTCGAGCGCTCGGAGAAACGACTATCCCGCCAACTCGAGAATGCAACGGAGAAGCTCAGACGCGCACGCGAGACGGGCGAAGGCAAGGCCGAGGCCGCCCAGAAGCGAATGCTAGAACTGAAGGAGGCCTACGGCGTTCTCAGCCGCGAGCGCAGTGAACGCGACAAGGAGATGGAGCGCAAAAAGATTCGCATCGAGCGGATTGAGAAGGAAATGGCGGACATGAAGGAGACCGTGGAAGCGGAGGTCGCTGCAGCTCACAAGGAGTTTGCGAAGATGAAGAGTCATGTGGAGCTTTACATGAGTGAGATGGAGCAGTGTATTTGAATATGACGATTCATGTTTTCTTGTTTCGCCCATTCGGTTCTTAGTGCGCTTGCTATGGGGTTATTTTCTTGATTTGCACCGGGAGGTGGGGGGAGTTTGGGATTTGTAATTTTTTTCCTTTTTTATCGAAATGTTGCGGCTTAACTTAGGGACTTGTGGTGGTTGGATGGTGAATGCTGGTAGTTTTTTTTCCTGGGCTTTGTAGGTGTAATATGGATTCAACGTTCGAGCAATGTCATGGGGTGGCTAGACTATATTGCTCCACAGTTTGCAAAGTACTGTACAGCGCATTTGGGGACACGCGAGGGAGTATATTTGTAAAAGGCAGCTACCGGTAGCCACATCTAAATATCCACCACCCATAGAGAATTCAAGAACCCACTGCACTATATAGTCAATAGCCCGCAGTCGGGATAGAGTAAATCGCGGGATACCATTCGTACCAAAAGAAAAAAGAAACCCCCCTCCCGTCAAGATGAGTGAAAAAACATCTTTTCCCTTCGAAAAAAGTCACGAAGGACCCCCCCCCCATCGCCAGCACCACATCCCGCAGGGAGACAAACCCTCGTCAAGGTATGACCAGTCAAGCATCATGAAAAATCACACGCTCAAAACGCTTTTTTTTTTTTAGCGTTGGGCACAGCGCACGCGGTATGATGATACTACACTGTAGAAGCCCTGCGGGTCTCCACGAGCTCGATAGATTCTGGGGGATTAATCGTCCCGGACGAATTCTCACCCCTTGTATAATTCTCGCAGGCCATATTCACGGGAGGGAGGAAAAAAAAAAACGGAGGATTAATATAATACGACCTTTTCCCCCCACCCCGGAGTTTTTTTTTCCCCTTCCTTCCAAAACTTTAAGCGGAGAGGGTACATTTACATCTTAGCGCTGAGGGTTGCTGTCAGTTTCATGGATCTGATTCCCCCCTCCCCCCCCTGGAACAGTCGTGACATTGGTGGGGGGGTTATCATTAGTTGTGGGGTGTTTGAGGTGTAGGATTGGTTTTGTCTGCCCTGTGCGTATTGCGGCTGCGGCTGGGGATTAAATATGAAGAATGTCCTATAGTGGATGGTCCCGTTTTTCTTTCTTTTAGCTATAAATTTGTTTGGCTGGTTGGTTAGTTAGTCCGCCGGGAATATATAACTGTTCGCCAGGTAATTTGAGAAGGTCATTCCACAGCGGCAAGAAAAGAAAAAAAAGTTCTATTCACCAGATATCACTCGATACAATGTTTTACCAAACCCTTACCAATGCCGCCAGCCCGGAATTTATTCGCAGCGATGATGCGAAACACAAAACGTAGCGCGCTCCTTCCCTCCTTCCTTCTCGCGGCTAATGAAAAACACTGCGGGCAAGATTATTGGAAACGCTCTTGCTTGGGTCTTACGAGACGGACCTAAGGTGGTGGTGGTTGTTGTGGAAGCACATCCCTTAGGAGGCCAAGTTCTCTATCCGAGAGGTGTGTAAAGCCGCATATAGCGCGATACGTGATTCCTTTATCTTCACGGCCGGGAGGGGGAGTTGCTGCTTTGAGGATACTATAATCCGCACCCCTCAGAAGGCAGGTTTTTCAGGGCTAAGTCCTAGACTCGTGGTTATGGAGATCCGAGCAGACTTCGTATGGCTAGCTAGTGGGCATGTCACCTTGAAGGACTTCGGGGGAAAGAGGATATGTGTTTCCGGTATGCACGGTGCGGTATCTTGCGCTTGAGCATTGAGGATGGGAAAAAGTCTCAAGGTTTTTGCTATGTAAGTGACGGGGGTCATTAAGACTTTTCATGAGTTTGATTAAAAGTTAGTAGGAAGATGAGGAAGGATATCTCCGACAAAAAAAAGGGGGGTATCTCTCCAACATAACTGTTGTTAGGTACTACATTAATTGATTTTTCCTTTGTCCTGCTTCTCCTTGGCTCGTTTTTCTCGGACCTCCGCGCAGTTGCAGATCTCCTTTAGCAGCCTCAAGCCTTCGGGATCCTCGAGCTTTTGAATTGCTGCAAGACTCGCTTCTACTCTGGCGGCTTTCACACTCACCCCTGACCCGTAGGAAAAAATCTCACGGTGCACTACGATAGCGGTGAGGATATAGGTCATATTTCCTGTCATGCACTGTTGACTTTCGAATCCCCAGAATTCGCAATTGAGATCGTCCATGAACTTGGTGATGTAAGTGGTTGGGTGCTGACCGGCAAAGTCTGGATTTGTTAGCTGGTTGGGGGTTGGGGGTGGGGGTGTATACAGGCTTACTGTCAAATACTGTCATGTCGACAAAGTACGGAAGAATAAAAGTATTGACCAAGCGTTCAACAATATTGTATTGGAATCCAGAATCTACAAAAACAGCTCCGATAAATGCTTCCAGAACGTCTGGCAAAGCTTCTATGGGGTCTGTCAGTATGCTTTCCCTAGGGCTTGTTGAAACGTGTTGAGCTTACTTGGAGGGGCTTTGAGGGAAGTCCAAAAGTCTACAGCACCATTGGAATTGGCCTTTGCATCTTGAATGTCAACTTCGTACTCTCGAATAGCGTGGTCCAAGACAGATCCCATTCTTCTCAATTTCCGGTGAAATCCCATTTCCACTGCAACCATTCCAAGGAATTTATTTGACACCATCGCCATCTATATCTCCTGTTAATATCATGGCCAGCAGGTATAAGTCTATACTATGATACGGACCTTATGCTCTGTCAACCATTGGGGATCCGCATGAGGATATTTTTGAAACATGTAGCGCACGCAGACGAGATCTAGCACTGCATCTCCTAAGATTTTTCAGAACAAGCTCGCTATTTGCTTAGGTGCCAAACTCACCTAAGAATTCTAACCTCTGATAGCTCGGAACCCTGTCCCAGGTGAATGGGAGGGAGGGATGTGTGAGAGCAGATATCAATAGACGTGGGTGCTTGAATTTGTAGCCGACTAACTCTTCAATATCTTCAGCGACCCTTATGTGAGATGGAGATGGCTCTTGAAGCTGATATGCAGGTTTTGTGTAACAATTGTAGTAATCGGCCCACACTTTCTGGCTGTGCTCTGGGGTTCTCAGAATTGCGGTTACGATCTGAGTAGCCCCATCAAGCCCTTTATCAATTAGAGCAGCCCCTATCAATGCCTCGCACACATCCGCTATCGATAAGTTCATTAGCTCGTAGCCCGGAGGTTAGTTAGATGGGAATGAATACAAATGGACTTATCGGCCAAGCGGTGGGAAATCTCCTCCTTAGAGGAATTATGTTGGGTAGTCCCCTTTCCCATAAGCAGCTTCATTTTGGGGTACCAAGTACGACGTGAAAATCCTGCGGTTTGAATGTATTCCGGGATCTTCATCTCTTTGGCTTTAGTGAAGAGATATCTGTTACAGATGAGAACCATTCGCTTCACGTGAAGCTCGCATTCATCATCTGCATGGTACGCTGTATAGAGACTCAACGAAGTTGCCTAGTTTTGAGGAATTAAATAGGGTTCTGGATTTGGAATGTGAGAGAATCTTACCAGTTTTAGAAAGCAATCCCCTAGAAACTCTAACCGCTCGTAATTGCTTCCCATCCCTCTTTGAAGTGATACCTGGGCTGAGCCATGCTCATGTGTGTTTTCGGAATCCTTTGTGATGGCTTCCAGAGCTACCCCTACATCTATTTCCATCCCTAAAAGGCTACAAACTTCCCACGCATGGAGATAACTATCAATTCGAGTTATGAAAGAGGGGAATATCATAGCCATGTGAATGACCTGGCTCGGAATCTATTTAGATATTAGTGGTTGTACATTGTTGTGCTAATTCACGGGAACGGGGGTATACAGCGGATATCGAAAAAGCTGAAGGAGTTATTACTGCTCTGTTATCTGCAGTCACCCATTTGCTGTCAGGGGCGCTCAAATAGTTGATACGATGTAAGAGACACTCTGCGATTAAAACAGGCTCAGACACTGGAACCTTCCACTTCACCCCTGACCACTTCCGCCTATTCGAAGCATTATAGCTGTAGTCTTGTATGTCTATTATACCAGGAGGGCACTCATAACTGGGAGGATAAGGGTCAGTTGACTTGAGGGTCGGGTGGTGGTCAAGTACTATAAACCTCCGGGACCTCTGCCTCCGGTCAATAAGAAAGCGGCCAATTAATTTCTCAGCGGGGTAATTATCATCCCAAAGGATGTCAGCCCTTGAAGATACCTCTTCGAGGAGTTCACAATCGAGAGTGTTCTCAGGAAGACTATCTTTGGTGAAGTTTGAACCCTTTATAGGAGCGATCCAGTAAGGCACTGTGTCGAGCGTAAGCTCGAAGGTTTTATTAAAGAGATCGAAAAAAAGGCGATGAGTAAACTGGCAAAGCTTCTTTAATGTGTCAGGGGATGCTCGCAAGCTCTTCGACAGCTGTAATATAATCAGCTCCGACTCCGCTCCCTTGTCCGAGTAGACCGTGAAAGCGGGAATAGGAGGTAGCTTATTCCGAGTGACTAGACAGATCGGTTGGATCGCAGGGGCCATGCCAGTAGGGTTAGACAGCAAAAGTATATTGAACCAAAGTTCAAAGGGTGGAGCATTGATTTTCCAGAAATCTGGTTTAGCCCTTCTCGGGTAAATATTGGAGCTATGAATATCCAATGCTAGATGGGCATTGGTCATCTTGGGATTCCTCTTGGTCCGGGAACTTTTAGGCATGAGGTTTTCATCTAATTCGCCTTTCCGCCTCAACTCTAGGCAGGTAAAGAAGGATGCTGATTGCTTTGCAGCCCTTTTCGTGGGCATTGGAGCTCCCTCGATGTGCTGTACTGGGGATAGAGTTGGGAGTGTAACCTCACTTATGAAGCCCTCAGAAACACGTCTAACTGTGAATAGTGGTTGTAGTAGCTCATTATCCTCTTGTGGCTAATAGACAGTCAGCAGGGGAGTTGGGAACGAGTTAGATCGTCAAAGCCACAAACCAATAGCTGAGTATAATGGAATAGGATTAGCATGGAAGAATTCATTGTTAATTTTGCGCCAGTGCCTGGCTCGATATGATATGGCCCCTCTGTATTTTCCAATACAGATGATTCGTCTGGGCTAGTGGAATCTAGAATCCGGTCAGCCGGGAGACTGCGACAAAAGTCTCGCATGATTTTCTAGAGCACCTGTTAGAATGGTCTATCGTTTCTGGATTGGCCCGAAATACCTACTTCTGAATTCCGCACGTCGCTCAGCATTTCCAGATGGCTCCTGTTTCCACTCTCGAGCATATGAATATACTATACTCATTTAGCTGTGTCATAAGGCATCCGCAGAGCGATATATTATACCTTGGAAACAGAACTCCGGGCTCGCCCTCTAGACTGGACATATTGGATCATGGTTCTGTACAGGTCGAATCTGTTTCAATGAGCACTTGAGTCCCAAATGGTGCGGGGAGGAGTATGCCAATAACGAACCTAATGACTAAGCTACAATCGGGAATGTCTAGACCTTCTTCTGCAACCGATGTAGCTATTAAACAGTTCAATTTGCCTTGTCGAAATTTACTCACAGTTATCATCTGCTCCCGAAGGGTAAAATTCGTACCTGGCACTCTGGAACCGGTAAGAGAGCCAAGAAGTACCCCAATTTGCAAATACTTGATTTTAAGCCACTTGAACAATTCGCCCAAGACGGTGGCAGTATATCTGCGGGAAACAAAGATTATGCACTTATCTGTAGTCTGCACACTATAGATTTCTTTCAAATAAGCGTGAAGCAGCAAGACCTTCGGGCTTAGGTGGCTTGAATCAGCAGACGGTGGCGGAATGTTGTACTTGCAGACAATGTCTGCTGCTTCCTGCAGATATGAAAGCTCCTTTTCAATCCTCGCAATGCTCTCAATTTCTGCTTGTGCATCCAACCTCCTCTCTGTCATGCGCTCGAATTTTCGTGCTTGCGTCTCACTAAGGGCAAACTTCCACATGACATCTGCGCACCATGGTCCGAGCTCCGATGATGCTAGCTCAGCGAATGCAAAGATCCTGGAGAAGCAATCCAACTCGCCATACGTGTTATGAAGCCTTCGACAGAGGTCTGTTTTAAACTGGGGCCTTAGTTTTGGATAGGCAGTGACTACTTCCTCTGGGCGACTAATAGAACCTTGAAGTAGCGCTAAGTCACTGGTAGTGGCAATTCGGCTATGCAGAAGCTTCTCTAGGTCTCTATAAGTTTACGGATTTAGCCAACACGGTCGTGTCGTGTTACTTTGGGTTGGGGTACATACACTGCTGCCTGTACTACGTCAGAGCGGCCACCAACGGGAGAAGCTGTCATTCCGAAGATTTTAGGTCGAGTGTTCTCTGGCTCAGGGAGGTAGAAATCTTGGATAATTCGGGCAAATGAATGCCTTTTTTTCGCATGGTGAGCTTCATCAAAGCATAGCAGGTTGATGTCTTTCATTTTGATAAAAGCGTGAGTAAGACAACTATAGAGGATATCCGCTGTCATTACGATCACCTAACGGGGGTGAGCGAGCGAGCGAGTAAGCGAGTGATTTATTATAAAATGTATAGAAGTGGTACCTGTTGTCCCTTAAGGATATCATTCCATGTTTCTTTCCTCCAATCGCCTACCCCCATATCACCGCAGTATTCACCTATTTTGGCGTCGATATTACAGCGTAGCACGGCCGCTTGTTGGAAGACTAAAGTGACATTGTGAACCAGGAAAAAGCTAACTCGAGGGTGATTGCCAGCCGCTCGTGATTCCAATTCTTTCTCAATGATATGGCGAATTAGTAGGCACGCAATAAGAGTTTTTCCAGATCCTGTTATTCATTAAAGTTGTCAGTAGCAGTTGGCGTATTGTAAACTAGGCTTCTATGAACCTACCAGTATCGAGAACGGCGATAGTGTTCCTGGTCTTTGCAATCTCGAACAGTTCTAGTTGGTACTCTCGCGGGCCGCAAATGATCTTCTCATTCTTCGAAGTTATTGATCTCAAACTCATTTTCTCCTCAATGATTCCCTTTTGCTGCTGATTATGTTGGAGATTTATTTCTTTGGACTTCTCATTCGCCCTGTTAACGCAATTTGAGTTAAGTCTTAACTGCTTTTCGGAGTGGAAGTCCTACCACTTTAAAAAATCACTTTGGCGTTGGAGGCGACGTTCAGATGTACGCTTACTCCATTTTTTAGGGACCGGAATCGGTTGAAGTGTGAATGGTATTTCTCCAGTATCACTTCCGTTAGGATCTTCCACCTCCTCTTGGAATGCTTCCGAATTTTTAGAGTTTTTTTGCATTGTGCTTTCGATAGGTTTTGGAGGACTGATCGGGGTCGAGGTACCTGAGGCAGCGCTTTCTAGAGTAATATCTATAAGATCACTTTCATGGTTGAGCTTCGTTCCACCAGAGTCGGATTTGTGCGCGGGAGGCCTTAGTGAAGTTTGATTTGTGTGATGTGAGAGTGAGATTGGGTGATCCGGGGCGATCGGGACATCTTCGCAAAGAAATGTATCGTGTGCTGGAATAAGTAATTCGAGATCCTTCATGTATCCGTTAACACTTCCCCAAGACTGTTCTTGAGCGGCGAGAGGGCCTAAATCGAGAAGCAGGCCCACTGACTCCGCTGCAAAAGCAGTCCCTTTCTTAGCGATGTCCTGCTTTTCAGGTGGCGGGTGGAGAGCTGTAGGCATATCGACTTTAGAAGCTTGCTCTTTCATTACTTTCCATTTTTTTGGAGTTCCCATCAAAGGCATATTTTGGCGAAGAGCCTGAACGGGTCTGAGTCAATGGTTAGTTTCCGATTTACCACTGAGGATGATTTCCTTGACAGCTTGCTGTTTGGGTGAGAAAAGACCGAGGATTTCGGGAAAGGTTACTTCTGACGTCAACTGATTTTTAATTAATTGGTGACTCCGAGAGATTTTCGCTGATAGCGGGTAAGCAAATGATGGGGGTGGTAATGAAGGTGGCAATGAGGGTGTTGATGCTGATAAGAAGGGAAGGGAGGAGTGAAGGGGAGGTGGGTTGGTTGGAGGAGAGAAAGTGCCACGGCCTGGAAAGGGGGGCGTCAGCAAAATGACAGAAACAGCCAGATCAAACCTCCGTGCTCCATTCCACCGTGATAATATGGGGATGAAAATGTTGTGCAATATCGGTACCCTCGATTGTGCGTTCTGGGGTTTCGTTAGTTTACCGTAGTTATGTATGAAGATGCAGTTCTGCTACTGCCTGGGGTGTGGGATCGGACTTGTACGAGTTTGTATAGTACCGCAAAATGCCGAATAAATACAGCATACTGTAATAATAATATTATTGTAAAATTGAAAAATTGGGTAGTGACATGTGGAAGGAGGGAGAGAGATTGATTTCGATTGGGATAATTATGAGAGCCTACACATCTTCCAATTTTGGCATGAAGAGTTTCGAACGCATCATGAACTACGGTAGTGAATCCTTGGTATGCACATCCCATCTTACAAATGTCTTCAAAACGGCAATCCCTAATCTTTTGGCGGGGCGAAGGGCGTCGATTGCCCATCATACTTTTTCTGCGAGTCAGTGGAAGGCTCCAAAGTTGCAAAGAAGGCCTTCGGTGATCGAACTCGGGGGGTTAGAATGGGGGGGGTTCTATAAAATCTTAGTAAGCAAAAATAGCAGGAGATATTCGTTGCTCAGAAGTAGGGAAAGAGGAGTAAATTATCCATGTTTAGGAATTTTGTCATAATTTTTTTTGTTTCTTTACCTTCAACAGTTACTTTCTTCAAAATTTAATGTCATTGTTTATTGTTTTGTTAGAAGGGGTTCTATCTTATAACCCCCCGGTTCGAAAAAGCGCGTTCCAGCCCTTCGATCGTTTTCTGATCCAACCCCCCCTTCATTGTAACATTGGTAGAAGCTCACAAATATCAAGGACTGAGGAGCCCACAAACGTGACCAGATTTGCCGTTTTAAGAAGTATATTAGGTCGCGTTGAGGACATTTGTTTTTATGGGGAGACGCGTCGCACGCGTGACAACTTAGCGTCATCACCTGGAGAAAAAGTTGCTTACCGAGGCAAGATCCGCAGATTAGATTAGATCGGACAATCAACCCGTTATCTATCAGATACTCGCAGTCTATCGGAGCTCTTTACCTTCGCCACCAACCGACTGTTCTGCTCGAGCGCTGCCTCTTCACCCCCGCATCAAAATATCACCAACCCTTCACCACCCTAAACCGTCAGGGCTGCCATGAGCGAGAACCAGGAGTCACTTCGGTCGTTGTATGATTCTGGGGAACGCCTTCGGAAAGAGATCGAGGAATCGTACGATTACAATAGTCCCGCTTACCAACAGAAATTGCAGACCGCTATCCGAACATACCAGGAATGCAAGAAACTTGTTGATCAAATATCTCTATTCAGCACAAATGAGTCATTAGAAGACGTTGTGTCATCAGAGATAAGGTAAGAGTTGCGAATTCTTATAAATAAAGGGTCTAACGACGTGAAGATACATGCTTATAGACTATCACTTCGCCGATCTCACTTCCAAGCAACAGTCGCCGGATCGCGCTTCTATATTGAAACTGTCCAAGTTCCTATATATGAGATTTTTAAATCTATGCGACGCTTATGATCTACTGTCAAATTATGATAGAAGCGTACTTCACCCGGCTGATCCAGAAGCACCCAAAGCCTCTCCCGCCCCCATTGACGCAGCAGCAAGGAGGAACGAGAAGATTGCGAAATTTAAGCTGGAAAAAGAATTGAAAACTAAAATCGATGTCGGTACTTGTTTCCGAGCAGACCGTTTGAGGTGCTAACATATTTATAGGCGCTTGCCCAGAATCCTCACTTATTGGATGAAGATGAGTTACGGAAACTTCAGACTGCATTAATGTCATTGGCAATAATGAAGAGCATTCAACAACTTGAGATGATTGAGCTTGAACTTGATATTCTTAGCAAAGCTCCCAAGATCGAAGAAAACCCTGTTACCCGCCTAACCAAAGATGAGCGAAGTAGAGACCGGGGCTCAAGGGATGGTTACAACGACAAGTTGGATAACATTCCATCGACTATCAAAGGCGGACCTCTCCTGTCTCAAGACGGAAAACCGTTGCGCCCCTTTACCCTCTTGGATAGCCGAGAGCGTCTAAAACAGGGTGTCTTTAAGTCGGGGCATAATCTTCCGACTATGACCATTGATGAGTACCTTGAGGAGGAAAGGAAGCGGGGTGGTATTATCGAGGGCGGAGGGTATTATATGCCCCATATTTTTGTTTGCAATACTTGAGCTAACGGAGCGTAGTGAGAAGTCGGGAATCAGGTCAGAACCTGATGAAGATAACCATGAAAAGGCCGACGAAGAGACTATGAAAGCAAGGGAATGGGACGAATTTAAGGAAGCTAATCCGAGGTTTGCCAATTCTTTCTCTGAAGGTAAATATTGTGTCTAATTATCCTTTAGAGGGTCTGGAAATACGATCAACAGGGGTTAAACATTTAGGCCCTGTTTGGACGTCCAAAAACTCAGTTTTTTTGAAAGTAAATGTAAAAATAAACTGTAGTGTGTCTGGCATGTACGGAAATACCATGGTATTTTTAAACACAGTTCTTTTTTCCTCAGTATGATAACTTCAAGTTTGTGGCTCAATATTACTTTGTAGCTCAATTGGTGTATGGCGTAATACAACCTTGTAGCTTAACCTCACTTTGAGGCTTAATCTAATATTATCACTTAACATTATGACCGTTAAAGTCTATTATATAAAATAATATTTTATTTGTTTTTCCCTTTCTTTACCAACACATCCTTTTTACAGTTTTCCATACCTCATTGTAATGTTAGTTAATTCGCTAGAATTTCAATTCTACAAGCCATTGCTGTGACATATCACTTGTTATCTCTTAAGATGTGGAGAGGAGTATGATAAGTATGATACAGGATGTATAACATTCCTTGATGTCTGTATATAGCTCACATGCTAACGTGAAAGAATATTATCTGATGCTAGTACCAGATGCACTCGAAAACAGTGACCCGCAAAAACACCCTCGGCAAGAATCCGTGCATATCGGAAATCCCATGGAAGCTCACGAGCACTCGGTTCCGATATTTCTTGCCTGTTGCGAGTATAAACAACACTGTTCCAAGTGGGCTTTTTGGGGTCGTGGAACAACTAAGCCATGTACCGCAAACTAAGTTCCCAAGAACAGTATCTGCTTGGTATTGCTTGAATATAGACCCTAATTTTTTTTTTTCCCTGCTATCGCGACCTTGTAAAAAACAAGTTTGCTTCTACTTTTCTTGTTTTACTGTCCTTGGACCCCGTTGTGAGTATTAACTAAGGGCCCAAAGGATGTCGTCCCTATCATTGACCCTTTTTCTCCTCGCTGTCACATAATAATATTATGTTTGATTCCGGGCAGGGTAACCCTGGTTTACTGAATCAGTGGTCGTTCAGCCTCACCCCAACCCAGCTCAGCCGCTCCAACAACCAACGGCAATATCAATGGATCACCGAAGCTTCGTCCCAGGCTGGGCGGTGCCCGCCAAAAGTGTTGATTTTACTACTTTTGGAATGTTTATACTTGGTATGCTTAATTTAACCTAAAGTTGAAATTTGACGTTAACCTTTATGATTTTTTATAGACGAGATTCATTTCGGAGGAGATAAAGAAGATGTGGTCGATAACATCATCGGAGGTGCTGGGACTTATGGTTTGTGGCCCTTTGTTAATCTTGATTGCCACTTAACTTTGGGTTTCATGATGGGTTTTTTGTTTTGAGCCGCTTGAGTTCCTGTGAACTAAATATTTTTAACTTATAGCTGTTATTGGTGCTCGTCTATTCAGCCCTGGTCCCCAGGCAAAAGCAATTGGGTGGATCGTTGATGCAGGGAATGACTTCCCCCACGAGATCCGTCAAGACCTCGTGGTGTTGGGAACTGACTTGACCATTCGTGAGGATCAGGAGAGAAAAACAACTCGGGGGTGGAATAAGTATGGGCCTGGGGATTATAGAGAATTCAAGTATCTCACACCAAAGAAGCGCTTAGACGTCAATGACCTCGTTGAGGAGGGACTGTTTACAGCAAAAGCGGTTCATCTCATTTGTACCCCTGCCCGCGCAAATAATGTCTGTTTTGGGTTGTACAAAGCATTACAAGATAGGCTTTTGCATCCCATGCCGTTGGTGATCTGGGAGCCTGTGCCCGACTCATGTAATTCGGCGCATAGGGTAGAAATGCATATGATTCCTCCGCCGTCTTTAATTCGGGAAAAGTAGTAAGAAAATTTTGCTAACACTTGTGTTGCCTGGTCAGGTACAAGGCTCTCGAAATGGTTCACATCATCTCTCCTAATCACGACGAGCTGGCAGGATACTACAGCATAGAAGACCCTCTTGTCAAGGACAATCCTGATACTATCACATCCCTGGCAGGGAAGATAGCAGCTGCAGGAATTGGAGAACAGGGGAGTGGTGCTATCATTGTCCGTGCGGGGAGGCTAGGGTGTCTCGTTGGCTGCAGAAAGCATGCGCCTATCTGGTTGCCAGCCTACTACCCACCTACCGAGGCGGGAGGAAATAATCCAAAGGTTGTGGACCCCACCGGCGGAGGTAACGCTTTTATCGGTGGAATGGGTATATCAATCGCTAGAAATGGGTCAGCAAAGTTCGTACTTGCTGCGGCAATGGGTATCGTAGCGGCTAGTTTTGCCATTGAGCAGGTTGGGATGCCGAAACTAGAAATGGTTGATGGCGAGGAGAGGTGGAATGGGGTTAGTGTTAGGGAACGTATGGAGGAGTATCGGGAGAGGGTGGAGAATATGGGTATTTCACTGGATGTGTAGTCCGATGACTGGGGTCTTTTCTGTTATCAATAGATTTAGACGTGGAGATATTTGGGATCTTTGTTTGGTTCACCTTCCGATGGCCAATATGCCATAAGTTCATAGTTTAATGTTCAACAGTGTTTGTCTCTGTGCTTTGCTATTTGTTCTAAGAGTAATTGATCAATCATATTGTCTACGCATTAATTATAATGGTATTGGATGCTCCGCTTCCCCATCTAATGAGAGATTGAATCCGCCCTTAGTCCACTCGAGTATAGGGTGACATCGCTCCGACCATAGACATCGTGACAAGAGACTGGCGAGATTCGACCTAGACTATGATTACGTCCTCTCACGTCGAGCCAGCCTGAGAAACATAAGCTCGCTTTCTTTTCCTTCCCCCCCTTCCTGCTTCTTGTCTCACTCTCGATCGACTATTAGAAAGTTATCTCCTCTCCCCCTTCTCTTTGGTCTCGTCTCCCCCATCTTCTCCCGCATCACCTCTTATCACGCTCGGCGGCGAAACCTACAAGGTTACACTTTCTAGAGCGATCTTTTAATCTTTCTGGAAACCTTTATCAAGGGTTTTTGTTAGCCGATCACTAAATTTACCCGTGAGTCCCCTGCGGCTCGGAGCGGTCCTGGCCTCCTCGCGGCGCGGTCGCTACCACAGGAATCGCTGCGAATTAATCCCCCCCCCCCACCTGTTTCCTGTTTCCTGTTTCCTGTTTCAGTCCACCATTCCCTCTCCCCTCTATACCTTCTATTTTTCTGTTTTGACCTCCTTCTCACTTACACCTCTGGCAGAAATTTCACCACTACCAACTATAATGTCCCAGAATTCTGCACTCCCTGTTACTCCTCAAAGGAGGGATATAAAACATTCGCCTCGCTCCCTATCTGCTAATATAGGAGTAAATAGGCATGAGTCTAGTAGCGAAGATGAAGTTGACCAGCCATCAACTCCTCAAAACGTGGGAATACCAGGAGGTAAGTTTTTAAAAGTTCTCATTCTTATTTCCGATGCGGTGAATTTGATACTTTTTTCGGCCATTGTGAGGCTGAGTGTCCAATCTTTTCTTTTCGTTCTTTATGATTCTTAGGATATGGTTTGCTCCCCTACTCTTTTTTTCTTCCCCTCCCCTATTTTTTCACGTCTTTCATGGGGAGGTCGCAGCGGTTCCCCGGACCCTCTGCGGGGAGGTTTTGGGCGACCCGGGGGGCTGGGGCACATTACTTCCTGAATTTCCTTTCAGGTACTTTGATAAATTCCGCCTTTGCCCTTTCCTTTTATGTTGCCGGTTGCCGGGTATTTATCTCTAATCTCTGGCCTCATGGCGGATGTGATGGGCGAAAAGATGATCATCTCCTTAATTTTTGCGCATTGGCTAATCACAGATGGGATAGGAGCCCTTAACTTGAGACGCCGTGGGAAGACCATGTCAAGCCTTGAAGATGGCGATGATTCCTTGCAATCCTTTCTACATTCTGTTCCTCTAAATTTGGGTAGAGAGAGTAATAGACAGTTTTCGAGAGTTCTTTTCAATAAGTCACAGGAGGTTGAGATCAAGGATTCCGAGTCTGATAACGACACAGAGTTCTTCGTTCCTCATGAACACAACCCTGATACCATGCTGGCCGAGGGCGGCTTTCAAATAGCGCAAGCAAATCTAGACTTTGAAACATTAGAAGCCGGAGCTGAAAGAGGTCCAGAGGATCTTGCGGCGCGTGGGTTACCCTCAGCTTGCGTCTTTGTGGCAAAGTAAGCGGCGCTCTTGAAGAGAATTTATGGCTCCTGATTTCCTAACTATATAATAGCCTCGCTGCGACTCAGACAGATGAGGAACTAATGAAAAGTCTACAAGCCCATTTTTCAAAGTACGGCAGACTTCACGTCAAAATCCGTAGGGACAGTAAGGGAAACCCTTACAGTTTCTGCCAATTTGAGGTACTTTTATGCGTTTCAGGGCTTGGTTGACTCAAACTGACCCTAATTTAGACAGACGAAGTTGCGAGAAGAGCCATTAGGGAAGGCAGGGCCAGAATCATTGACTCATCTGGTCGCCCAATACGCTGTGAACCCGCAAAGGTCAATAGAACCCTCGTACTCAGCAAGATCGATAGCAGTCCCATCCACCGCCATGAGGTAGTCGACATGCTTCATGGATTTGGCCCTTTGGAGTCTGTTGAATTTTCTGATGGCTCCTCAACCATACCGTCATTTGGTCTGACATCAGGTAATAAGTGTTATGTTAGATTTCAGTTCCGCCAGGATGCAGTTGATGGTTTTCAGGTATGGCCAATCTATGGTTTTCAGGTTCATTATTGGATCCTGATATCCGTTTTCAATCACAGTCTCTGCGCCTTAATAGCCATTGGGTCTCAGATTGGACGAGTAATTTTTCTACTCATAATATGAGTATGGCACTGCGCTGCGACCGGATCATTGAGGTTGACACAGTCTCAATCTTTGTTGGAAAGCTTAATCCCCAGATAACCGATAGCGAGCTTAGGGCCCGTTTTTCGGCACACGGGAGGATCATCGATTGTAATTTGGTCAAGAGGCAAAGCAGGCATGGTAGGGTCTGAAGATCTTCGAGGGTTCGCAGCTGACGGGTTTAGGTTTAGGCCTCAATGCGTTCGCATTCATACGATATGAGACTGAAGAAATGGCAAATGTCGCCCAAGCAGCTGAAGTAGGTTTCTTTATCCGGACCTTCGGGATTAATCTTCCCTCTGGCTAATTGTGCTCAGCATGGATCGGAATTCATGGGTAAAAAACTCCATGTCCAGATGCGGGAGGTGTACAGGAAGCCGCAAGTTATCGGGGTACCAGCTGGGCATCGCAACCAGCGGGAAACCATCCTTGCCACCCAGACTATTACCGAGCCAGAGATTTCCAACACAGCTCTCCAATACCCGCCAGTTCAGCAATATCAGTTCCAGACCGGACCTCTCGCTCCGGCTCCACAAAATTCTAACGGCATTCAGATGGATCAGATGGACCCGGAACGTCGCTTCTCCATTGCCAATCCGGTGATCCCCGTTATGCCGCAATTTCATGTCATGAATTACCACAATCATGTAAGCTCACTCCATCACAGTAGGCCCCCAAAACTGACCAGAGGCAATAGTACGGTTCAAGTGTGATGGCTTCTCGCCATCCTGGAAATTTCCCGGTGGCCCCGCACTCCTTTACACACAACCCCCCGGCTGGGTATTCATTCTCTCCATACCCGCCTTTTGTCCCACAGTATCTCAACCCAGGTCAGGGCTATAATTTTCCAAACCAAGGAATTGCTGGCGCGGATGAGGTACATGGGAGTTTGGGAGCTCTTGGACAACAGAGGGTGTCTACAGGGCACCCTTCAGTCATTTCAGAGCCTCTTTCTCCCCGGGCTAAAGTGGGTACTATAAAGTTGGAGAGCCTTTCCGATCATAGCTTCAATGAGATTTCTAACGCACAACCTTTTTTGGCAAACGAGAATCCTACTCAGGACCCGAAGCCTGGGCAGAGCCACTACGGGTTTTACCCTGGGTCCTTCCCCCCGCCACGCTTTTCTGGTGGGTACCCGTTTGTTCCTCCGCCTCATACACTGGTAGATGTGCGAAGAGATAGTGCAATGTCCGTTGGCTACGATCCTGCTACCCTCCAGTATGTTGGTCCTCGGTACGGGCCTTATACCAGCCCTTTTCCCCAACAACAATATCCTGCCGCCAGAGGAAATACCGACTAGATTTATCTGGTTGAATGAGTGGGTTTGCCCCCTTGTGAGGTCAATTCTAGAACCAGTCGGCGATCTAATTGTTGGGGAACTAGAAGGCAGCTAAACCGTTTGAGCTGATGTAAAAACGAACGATCGGGGATTCATTCAATTTTAGAAGCTTGTTCAAACGCTATTTTTTTGTGGAGGTTTTCGCTCATATCTGTCCCTTTTTCTTACCTGTCAATTTTCAGTGAGTAGCTATGACTTTCTATCTTTGTTCATGGGACCTGGCTTGTATATCCCACTGAATTCGGCTTTCTTTTTGTGCCCCCTTCACCCTTATCCAATGTACCCGTTTTCTAATTCTCCTTCCCTCTTGGGATTTCTAGAGTCTGTAGATGGCATGCGCCTTAAATTTTTTTTGTTCCCTTCTTTCCTTTTCCTTCGATTTCTCTTCTCCTTTTTTCACCGGATTTTTCAAAATATTTGCTTTTCGCAATTTTCTTCTTTTTCTCATGGTTCGACCACACTATCCGCACTTCTTTTTCTTTTTTTTTTACCACGGAATGCATGTCACGAAAACTTTTTGTTCTAGGACAACTCACGACATGATAGTTAATAGATCACGATGGTTTGCTGTCACGGCTGGAAGGTTTTTATAAAAGACTGATCAGAAGGGGGTAGTAGGAGGTACAGTATAACTGGGTGGTCTTTGTGCCGTCCGACAGTAGTTAGGCCGGACGATTGGAAGTTGGCCCATTTGTGCGAAACCTTTATGCGTGTAGCATTTTCCCCATAGCTCCTGAGACCCCTTGTTGGGTAAGGCGTTCTTCTGGGGTGTTGACGCGAAGACAAACCTGGCACTCACACAAGGGGTAAGGGCCAATTTTCTCAGAGACTGAACCTATCATACATGCGTCTAGAGTCTGGAAGTTGTGGTTTTGTCATCTAGTTTTACTCTCTTTGACTATTCGGGTAATTTTCTACTACGGCTAAATAGGTCAGAAGTTCATCCCACCATGTAAGGCATGTAATCTAGTTGCAATTGTCTCATATGTTGTCATTGAAAGAGGTTAGACGTAGGGATATAATAATATTATGATACTCGTTACTTCAGAACTCTTTTTGATTTCACATTCATCAACAGAGCCAAGGATTAATTATATAAAACCAAAATTTTATATTAAATAGTTTTGATCATGGTCTAAATAAATACATGCAAGGATTATTCTGAATCCAACCTCATTGCCAGGGATTATATGGGGAAGTTTGTTTTTAAGGACTTTAAATTTTTACCAAAGAATTAAGTCGGTGGTTGACCTGTGTGGCTAGTTTCGTTCACCGAAAATAGCAGAATTCCAAGCAGGCTCCAAGCCTCAGAAATGTCCAGAGTCTTGTGGCGAAGTTATCAGCTGTGAGGCACTCGGTGTGCAAGGTGAGGAGAGTAGCCTTCTTTAATGGTAGCGTTTTTCCAAGCCCTTGGCATAGTTGAGGATCTGCTATCACACAGGTCGATAACATGACAACCTCCTCAAAGTATGATATTGGTTTCACATTGGGTTCGTTAATCGGTATTTCTCAAAACGTTGGAAGAATCCTTCGCGATGGATGCGGTTAGGCTATGCTTGGGCAGCGCCCTCCTGATCCGACCGATTTGCTCGATTAGGGGTATTGCTCCATTATACTGGGAAATGCATGATCATGATAGATCACTCGATGTGTATATAGAACTAGGCAATCATGTGATGTCATCTATCAGAGTAAATACTGCCCACCCCCCATACTCCCTGAGGGACTACCAATTTGCTCGAGCCCTTCGATCACGCTCGAGTCCATCGCTGAAAATCCTACAGTTTCACAACTGTGGGGACAGTTCTACTCTAGATGGCGTTTCCAAATATGAGGTTATACGAGAAAGGTTGTGGTGCTGACCCCCTCAGTTGGTGGGTACATGGTAGTTTTTGGTTCCGCTCAATGCAAAATTTGGAGGAAATCTAAGGTTCCTTTTCAAGATCTATATTCTCAAGGGAAACAGGGTATCATACCAGTGAAAAGAGACCGATAATTGGTCACCACACTGTGAAATTTCAGAAAAAGGTTGGCATTATCAACAGGGCCTGAAAGGCCAATGGCTAAAGGACCAATTATATATATGGCCGGCGGGGAGGTTGGGAGCTCAATTCCCCAGCTTGGTCGTACATGGAAGTGGAATAGAGAAACAAAAACGGGAAATCAAGTAAGCCACGGCGAGCCACCTTTTTGCCATCTTGGTGCTCCTATTGCCCTATGAACCGCAATCTCTTTCCCGCCGCGTGAGTTGCTTTTTTCGTTTCGCGGAAATTTAATTGTAGAGGCAAAAACCCCCGGGTTAAATGCAAGGTTTTGAGATGCAGCTAGGCGGGGGAGGGGTATCTATGATGCCGCCGTAAAAGCTATTGACTTCAGGGGTTGATACGGATAACTGGCGAGGCCACACTCAGGACCCCGGGGGTCGGTATTTGCTCCGGTAGGTGTTGGCTCACTATACCGTTTTTCCCACTACAGTATTTTTATTCTTTCGGGTGTTTTTCATGCATGATAGATATTGCTTTCCTGTTACCACTATTCTGGGTTGCAGCGCTTTCTCGCGGGTAGTGGGGTCCTATCCTAGCGAGCGGGGAAGATATCAAAATGTCAGTTTGTGGGCATCGGGAAACAACCTCGTTAGGTAGTTCGGGCTGGGTGAATTTTCTTCTTACAGAGGATTGCGCATATAGTCTTGAGATATCCGGGGAGTTGGAAGGGATTCGCTCCATATGTAGCTGGCCTTGCGCCTGCAGCCCAAATAACCAGCGCTGGAAGGCGGCCCGGTTAGGCTGGGCTAGAGTGAGACTAATCTGGCGTTTTTGGGTGCTGATTTTCCAAATCCTGCATGCTTCATTCGTGTCTGGAAGTGTCGGGAGTCTTTCGGTATATAACATGCAGTCACTATACACTTTCCCAATGGGAAGTAGATATGGTACCTGTAGATATCCTTAGATGCCCGAGATCGTTCTCAAATGCCGACCCTATATCTGCGGATATTCGCAACTGAGGTGCAATATCCTAAAAGAACTTCACCTGGCGGAAGTCCGGGACACAAGGGGTAAAATCAAAAGAATTCCGCTGAACTTAGAGCATTGGAAGCAGTGTGGGTGCTAAGAAATTTCCTACCACCTGATATATTCCTGAAATGTAGGTAAATCACTCGGACATCCACAACTAGTGTCCCGTCGCCAAGACGTCTCTCCAACCACTCCCACCGCTTCAGTGTCCCATCACCCACACCTTTCCTTACGGCATCTCCCACGCGACATCACTCTCCAACCATACTTCATCCCGGAGATTTCGCAAATTGTTTCTTCTTTAGCCGATCGTAGTTATCAGGCCGGATATAACTACTTGGGCGAGAATATAGTGAACGGTACACTCTACTAGTATGTGTCCCCACCCCCATTCTCACGACTACCGGGTAGGTGATGAGAAAGGTTAGTGGACTCGAGAATAGTGGGGGGGTGCTACCTTTTCTCCAACAATCACCCGACTTTTCGAATGACATCACTAATAGCTGCTGAGGGCAACACCTTTTGGAGCTAGGTAAATAATGTACAAAAATTGAGAAGCCCAATATATACATTCCACCCACCAGCGGCCTACGCTCCAGATATGAGAATATGGTTACATTGCAAGCACAAAACTACGATTACACCCCCCCCACCTTTCATCACCTCTTACTCCTTTTCCTATATTTGAACCCCCAATCAGATCACCCCCCTCTTCTCTCTCCACATCCTAATCGTTTCTTCGAGAATCTCCCTGGTACCCCTCCCCACCATTGCGGTCTCCTGCCTCCCTCTTTCCTTC